GTGAAATTTGTATATTTTGCGATCTTATATACCTGATAGCAATTTTTTAATTAAAATATTATTTTAATAATCTATTATAAAAATAATATTACAAAAATCTTTGTTGTAATGTAAATTATTAGTTTGAATTTTGATTTCATATATAATATTTACTTTTAAATGAATATAATATCTTACAAGAACGTATTAATATAATTGAAGAAATAATATTATAAATTGTTTTTTATTTTCACAATATTTTAATGAAGTATTTTGATTTTCTTATATTATTATTATTTTAATGAAAAAATTACAGTTTAGAGTCATACCTGTGTGTGTGTATGTAAAAAATAAATTTACTGTACGTTTTTAAAGTTAATAAGTTTTGATTTATATTACGGTTTTTGATTTTACCATTATTCAATAAGATTCTTCTGAAGACTCTCGTATGTTATTTTGTGGTGAAATCAATAATTGTTTTAGACGGTTTAATGACTTTAGATAAAAATCTTTTTAAGTCAATATTAGTGATTATACAGATGATGTAACTCAATACTTTTCATTATCAGTATCATCACTGATCTAGTAATAATACATCGCAAAATTGATTTTGTCAAAATTTCAAAAGGTCGTTACTCTGTTACCTGCATAATAAAATTTCGAAAACAAAATATTCGGTATTATGTACAATTTTATAAAAACAAATTTTTTTTAACACAACCTATCTTATCCTCGAAAAATAGTATTATAAAAACATTTTTATAAGATTAACATAATATAATATAAAAATTACAATAAACAAAACAAACATAGTGTCTTAGTGCAGTTCNTAGTATTATAAAAACATTTTTATAAGATTAACATAATATAATATAAAAATTACAATAAACAAAACAAACATAGTGTCTTAGTCCAGTTCAATAGCACTATCACAACCATAATAATAGTACAAACGATTGGCTTTATTGACGTTTTATATGCGAAAGTATAAGCACATATTCTCGCGATTGTTGATATTGTATTTGCCGATAACAAAAACAAACAACCACTTGTATTTTTCATTTTTGTTAATTCGAACGAAATATAGTTAGTAACGTACACTATAACTGATATGTAAGTCAATACTTTGCACTTTCAGTACATCATTGATCTCGAAATAATATATTGCGAAATATTATTTTGTCAAGATTTCAAAAGATGCGTTACTCTAGTACCCGCAAAATGGAATTTCGAATATAAAATATTCGATATTATGTACTTTTCTATGTCTAATTTTAGCTTCGATGCGAAGCTGAAAAGGTTGTAGGGATTAACAAAGATGTTAAATAACATGTCACAATGAATGCGTTTATACAGGGTGGCCCACCAGTCACTGACAACTTAAATAACTTTTGATTCAGTTAATATTTTTAGCTGATTTTTTTTTTAAATAATAGTTATACGTTAGGTCTATAGCTATATCTCAATAATTAATTTTTTTACATTTTATTAAAAATATTAATTATTTTTAAATTTTAAATAAAATGTAAAAAAAAAATCTAAGATAGCTATTTTGTAGAGTAGAATTTAAGAAAAATTTTAGTAAAAAAATATCTTATTAATATTCAGTAGTAAATATTCTGTAGCGTTTTGAAGTTTG